ATATCTTGGACAAATTTATATGGCCACCCAACTCATGCACGGTGACTCCAGGCAGCTATAAGCAACATAATTAAAAAGGAATCACAAAAACAAGGCAGAATAATCAGACTTTTGAAAAACTTAAAAAAAAATTATTGGGGCTTATTTACAAGCTGTTATTGAAATACAGCTGAGAAACCAAACAAATTAAATACTATATGATTAAACAGTTGCAGAATTCAAACAGGGCAATTGATATGCAACAAAGGAAGTATCAGTGGATGAAATATTAAGTTTAGTGTGAATATTATGTTTAGTGAAAACTGGCACAATATATTTTATGTTTGGTATAGCACCCAGTGCCAACATCATTTTGTAAAAAATGCTGGAAATGCAATAATCAAGTAGAATCATTCTTTCATATTTGATTGCAATGTTGTAAACCTCAACAATTCTGGAAGATGATTTATCATGGAATGAAACAAATTCTAAAGGTTCAATTCTCTTTCGTGCCAGTAGTTTTTCTCTAAAACATTACCAACATTATCCCTACAAAATTTATTGAGTTGGCTTTATATATGATAACAGCTGACAGGACATTTTATACCTTTTATTGAAAATCATGTGTAAGTCCCTTCTTAGAAGAATGGCAAACAATGCTATAGAATATCATCAATGTCAAATATGACTTGATATTTGAAAAACAAGTCTGATACAGAATTTAATTCAACCTGGAAAACATTTATGGATTTTAAATCTACATATTGACTTGTACAACATCCAAAGTTTGAGTTTCTCTTAACGTGATGCTTCAATATATTAAATGTTGTTTGATTCATTAAATAAGGAATTTTATACCAGATAGAAACTTTTGTTAATTTCTATTCTGATCTATAATTTATAGTATACAGGCCATTTTTGTTAATTATTAAAAGCAACAAATTTTTGTTGAGTTTAATAATGGTTCTGAAGTTTTAACTGATATGAGAAATGTTAATATATGGTGTTAATCTAATGTTACTTGAACATTTATATTTTATATACCTTGTAATTCTCTTTCCTAGTTTCTTTTCTTTTTCTTTTTTCTTTTCTTTCCTTTCTTTTTTTACATTTCTCTTTGGTTATGTTTTTAAATATTTACTTAAATAAATAAAATAATTCAGAAATGAATGCTATGTATCAGTGCAAGGCAGGAAAAAAGGGAATTCATTTCAGATGTGCCTTGTTACCAAATTGGTTGGTTCTGAAAGAAGAAAATGGATTTACTGCAACTTGGCCAGTTAAAGATAAATCAACTCTTATCTGTTCATATCCAAGGCAAGCATATTTGTAAGTTAAGAAAATGTCTCAGATAAACTACATTTTTGACGGCAATTATGTTGTAGTCACAATTCTTGAACAGGATAATAAATTGGCAAAACAGAGAGAAATAACAATTGGTTCTTGAGACCTTGCCATGTAGCTACTTCTCACAAAATAAGAGTAAGTGAACATGAACCAAATATCTATAAATGTGTTCATTCACCCAATTTTGTCCTGTTTCGTTTTAGAATCTCATTTGTTTATTTTCTGCATTTCAGAAAAACCATTCGAAGAGCTGTTCCTTGTTTGAGATTTCTCATACGAATATCAACAAGTGAACTTTCCACAAGTACTGCAAATGAGTCTTCATTCAAGACGTCTATATCTAGACGTATCTCTTTCGTTTCCAGAAGCAAAAGCAGTGGCATTTCTTCCATTTCTGCTGCAGGAAAAGTTAAGTTTGCCTCATGGAGGTGTGGGTCTCTCAGATAATAGCTTCAAGATCACCCTGGACGTGGCCTGATTAAGTATGCATAGACACAAACATTCAGATTCATGTCCGTCTGGTACAAGGTGTTCACTTTAGCTGTTTCAATCCAGCTAATGAGCATTTTGTAATGGGGATGTTGAAAGAATATTCGACCAAATTGGTATTTAATTGCACTGTTCTATCATCCATCTATCTATAGTATCTATCAATCAATCAGTCATCGGAAACAGGTCTTCTTTTCAGTGGTCCCAGTCTCTCGGTGAAACAGTAAGCCCCCAATGCTTGTGTATTTTATGTTTCTTTTCTTTTTTCTTTTTAAATCATTTTATGTTGGTCTACCTTTCCCAGCTGTTACTTGGCATTAGGATTTTTTTTCTTTTGCAAAATTATTGTACAGTATTATATATTTTAATGTTTTCACTGAGAAATGATATACTTACATTTTTTAAGTTGTTGTGACATGAGAAAGGGTATTTCTAGTGCAGTGCTCATTCATAAGAACTACTTGCATTGTAAGATTTGTATGAGACTTTCCTGCATTTTATAAAAGTTTTTGTTTCAGAGAACTTACTGTTTGGCTCTGTTTTAGTTTTGTGATTTTACCTGTTGCTGTATGCACTTTCAATGAATGATGACTATCCTTCTGCTTTTGTTTTTTGATTTTTACTGTTAAAGGGTATGCTGTTAGGTTAGCCAACTGTTAGTGATTTGAGTTTGAATCAGGAAATTGAGATACAAAGGACTGTATAAATCAGTGTTTCTCAATCTCAGCAGCTTTCAGATGTGTGGACTTCAACTCTCAGACTTCCCCAGCCACACATCTTAAAGTCGCTGAGATTGAGAAATGCTGGTATAAATAGACAAAGTTGCTGAAAAACCTAAGGCACATTTAAGTCATTGTATTATATAGGAAAATGTAACTAGAAGTGTAAAAAAAAAACCCAGTGACAGAAGTGAAAGATACTAGGTAAGTTTAGGTTAGTAGGACTAAGCCAGGGCATGAAAATACTTCAGAGACTTGAAGAATTGCAATATAGAAAAGAGAAAAGATTTGTTCTTTGCTTTACCAAAAGGCAAGTTTAAATAAAGAACTTATGTTCTAGGAAAAACTTTTGAATCATAACTGCAACTCAGAAATTGAACCAATTATCAGAAAGAGTGTCGGCCCCACCAGATAGAGCAGACCAAGAAATCAACTCCATGGGAAGGCTAAAACTACTTTTATTGAGATTCGTTATAATAACAGAATCATTCAAGTCTGATTGTGTTATACCTCCTCCTCCTTCTTACAGTTCAGTGAATGAGGGAGGTGTCTGTCTGAGCCACTTCCGAATATTATCTGGATGTTCACGACTTAAAACATATTTTACCCCTTGTCACCTGGGAACAGAGGTTCAATATCTTCATCAAGGTCATCTTCCTTGCTCTCTACAAAGAGTGACAGAACTAGAGGTTGAATAGACTAGATGTTTGGACAAAATGGCCTATAAAATCTCACCAATCCTTTGATTACTAATTACTTCCATAATTACTAGTTCTGACTCAAAATAATGTTCATATTGTTGGGGCACACTTTAGAGTGTCCTACAGCTTTTATTACATCATTAGAGTGAGTCTTTTGGGGAGTCTTTATAAGTTTAAAAGGGTCAAATCAGGACTAACTGTTGCAGAGACCTAAACATGTCTCCCCCCCCCCCTTGCAATTCCAAAAACGTTTTCCAAACTTTTTGCTCCACTGATTTGGGGAGTGTTTAGGGGCCACAAAAAGAATACTAGGGAATCCCATACAGACTGTGGGTGACCATGCTTACCCTAGCTAAAGGGATTTCAGTACTAGTGAAGGCAAAGCAGTATTATTGGAGTGAGGGTGTAGTGGGTTGTGCATTTGGGGTCTTATTTGCATAAGTTGCCCAGAGTCACCGTGAATTGGGCAGCCATATAAATTGCTTTAATAAATAAATAAATAATAAATAAATATTGCTTCAAGTCCTTTCTTCACTTGCACTTTATATCAGCACCAGAATGCCCTAATGACCCCAGATTCCCCTTAATTAAACAATGCTAGCTTTGTCTTGTTCGAATATATTAAATTAATATGTATGAAATTATATTCTTATGCCAATCCAATATATTAAATTGTAGTCTTATGCCAATCCTTTTAGTTCAAATAAATAACCAGTTTTTTCCTGCTTAATCCATCATCCAAGCAAAATGCATAACTTTGATCCACTTTCCCCTCCCTGCCCCATCCCCCATAATATACGTTTTGAGGAGGATTGTGAATGCTACCAACTGAGGCCTCAGCAAATTCTTGGGGGTTGGGCCTATAGCAGACACTGGGCAACATATCATTAGCTATTCATCAGCCAACCAACCTTCCCACAGAAAATGAGGACAATACATTTTGTTAATCAGGATCAGGACAGGATATCACTATCCCAGAAAGGACTAAGTTATGCTAAATATTTATATAGAAGATTCTTTAGTTCATCTTAACAAATGCATTCAGCCAATATTTCTTTTCTTTTCTTTTCTTTTCTTTTCTTTTCTTTTCTTTTCTTTTCTTCTCTTCTCTTCTCTTCTCTTCTCTTCTCTTCTCTTC